GAAAAAAGTGAATAAAATGAGAAAATTATGCTCTGGGTTTCTACTCAGAGTTCCTCATTTCTCTCTCTGGAGATGGATAGCATTTTTCCTGGTGGATTTTTTGGAATTGTTTTGGATATTGATCAAGCCAAGTCTTTCACAGTTGATAACCATTACAACATTGCATTTACTGTGCACAAAAATCTCATAGTTCTTTTCACTTCACTCTGTATCATTTCATACTGATCTTGCCATGTTTCCTTCTGAACACCCCCTTCTCTTGTCATTTCTTACAGCACAATAGTACTGTGTCACAATCATATGCCACAACTTGTTCAGCCATTCCCCAATTGAAGAAGATCCATTCAGTTTCCAATTCTTTGCCACAACAAAAAGAACTGCTATATTTTTCTACATATAGGTTTTTCTTTGTTTTTCTTTGATCTCTTTAGAATCTAGACCTACTAGTGTGTTTCTGTATCTATGGTATGTACAACTTTATAGCCCTTTGGACATAGTTCCAAATTGTTCTCCAGAATGATTGGACCAGTTCATTACTCCACCAATAGTTTATTAGTTTACCTATTTTCTCTCATCCCCTCTAGCATGTGGCATTTCTGATAGGTGTGAGGTGGTACCTCAAAGTTATTTTAATTGGTGTTTCTCTAATCAATAGTGGGGCAGAAATGTAAGACAGTTGATAGAGTGCTGGGCCTGGAATCAGGAAGTCCTGAAGTCAAATATAGTCTCAGACACTAACTAGTTGTGTGACTCTGGCTAAATCACTTAACCCTACATGCATCAGTTTCCTCATCTGTAAAATAAGGAGCCTGGAGAAGGAAATGGAAAATGACTCTAGTATCTTTGCCAAGAAAACCCAAATGGGGTCCTGATGAATTGTACTTGACTGAAACAACTAAACAACTATAATCAATAGTGATTTGAAGCTTTTTTATGCTTTCTTCTTCTGAAAACTCCTTGCTCATACCATTTGACCATTTATTAATTGAGGAATTGATCTTTTTACAAATTTGATTCAGTTTTCTATATTTTGAGAAATGAGGCCTTTATTAGAGAAACTTGCATATATTTATGTATATATGCATATATACATATACACATACATATATATTTTGGTGAGGCAATAGGGATTAAATGACTTGCCCAGGGTCACACAGCTAGTAAGAGTCCAGTGTCTGAGGCCAGATTTGAATTCAGGTCCTCCTGACTCCAAGGCCAGAGCTCTATCCATTGAGCCACCTAGCTGTCCCAATTAGGTATATTTTCACTTTTGCTTTGTCTAGGTTCATGGTTGCTACCCCTGGCCTTTTTACTTCAGCTGAAACATATTAGAATCTGCTTCAGATCTTTCTTTTAATTTCCTGTTTCTTTCTGTTTCAAATGTGTCTCTTGTAACAACATATTGTTGGATTCTTGTTTCTAATCCATTCTACTATCTGCTTCTGTTTTATGGGTGAGCTCATCCCATTCACATTCATGATAATTGTGTATTTTCCTCCATTCCATTTTCTTCTATTTCTTCCTTTCTCTTTTTATCACATCCATCCTCAAAAGTTTATTTTGCTTCTAACCAGCCTCCCTGAATCTGTCCTCCTTTTTAACACACACACACACACACACACACACACAGTTTTTTCTCATATCCCCTTCCCCTCCTATTTCCCTCTTGGATAAGACTGATTGCTACATACAACTTAGTATGTATATGTCTTTCCTCTTTGAACCAATTCTGATGAGAGTAAGGTTCAAGCATTATCTTCTACCTCCATTTTTCCCTCCACAGTAACAGCTCTTCCTTACATTCCCCTTCTTGTGAAAAAATTTTCCACATTCTACCTCCCCCTTCCCCCTTCTCCCAGTGCATCTGTCTCCCCCATTCATTTTTGTTGCAGACTAGTCCAATATAATCTACTCACATCCATGCCCTCTGTCTATGTAACTTTTAACTATCCTAATAATGATAAACTTTTTAGGATCTACCTGTGTCATCTTCCCATATAGGAATGTAAACAACTTAACTTTGTTGAGTCCCTTATGATACTCTTTGATGTCTACTTTTTTATGCTTCTCTTGAGTCTTATGTTTCAATGTCAAATTTTCTATTCAACTCTGATCTTTTCATCAAGAATGCCTGAAAGTCTTCTATTTCATTAACTATCCATTTTTTTCTCCTGAAAGATTCTACTCAGTTTTACTGAGTAGAATTTCCTTGGTTCATGATGCTAGCTCCTTTGCCTTCAGGAACATCATATTCCAAGTCCTCTGCTCCTTGAATGAGGAAGCCACTAAATCTTGAATTATCCTGACTGTGGTTCCATGATATTTGAATAGCTTCTCTCTAGTTGCTTGAAATATTTTCTTCCTGACCTAGGATCTCTGGAATTTGGTATTCCTGATAGTTTTTATTTTGGAGAGGATTGGTGAATTCTTTCAATTTCTCTTTTACTCTCTGGAGCTATATTTTCTTGAAACATGATGCCTAGGCTCTTTTTTTGATTATGGCTTTCAGGGAGTCCAATAATTCTTAAAAGATCTCTACTCAATCTATTTTTCAGGTAAGTTGTTTTTTTTCTGATGAAATATTTCATATTTTCTTCCATTTTTTTCATTGTTGGCCTTTGTTTTATTGTTTCTTGATGTCTCATGGGGTCATTAGCTTTCACTTGCCCAATTCTAATTTTTAAGGAATCATTTTCTTCAGTGAACTTCTGTACCTCCTTTTCAATTTGACCAGTTCTACCTTTCAAAGTTAGCTAGGTGGTACAGAGGCTAGAGTACCAAGCCTAGAGTCAAGAAGACCTGAGTTCAAATCCAGCTGCTGACATTTACTATCCATATGACCCTTATCTTAACTGTTTGCCTCAGTTTCCTCATCTGTAAAATGAGCACCCAAAACACTTTAGTATCTTTGTCAAGACAACTCCAAATGGGTCACTCAGATCAACTTCTTTCATAGATTATGGTACAGAGACCTGGATTCAATTTTCCAGATGAGGTCTGATGACACTGTCTAATCTTTAAGATATGTAGTGATATCCCCTTTTCTCAAATTTTATTCAATAATTTTGCATTGATATCCATTAGAGATAGTGGTCTATAGTTTCCTTTCTCTACTTTCTCTCTCTCTAGTTAAGTATTGTAAGGTCCAAAATTCCCCTGGCTGGGAACACTGTACCTCCCCCATAACCATGTGGTGATTTTGATATCAAAGGAAGAGGCCAAGGGACTCCGTATTGATTATAGGAGTTTAATCAATCATAATTACTTACAAACAGGGCCAATCGGGGGCAGCTGCCAGATGATAAAGTGGATCCCCATGAAGCCCCCCAAAAATCCTCATGGTAATTATAGAAATCAAAAGGAGGAGCCAGAGAGTACATCACTGCTGATTGGTGGATATTTTGGGTTTCTGCTCAGTAATGAGCTTATTTCTGAGCTTTGGCATTAAGCCAGTGTTATTGGGTAAAATGGCCAAAGGTAGGTTTGTGTATTGATCATGAATCAGTCACTGTGTCCATGTTCTTGTTATTGTCTGGTAACATACTGGTCATGGTGTTTGTATTATGACTTTCATCAGTCATGGTATCTAAGTTGTGACTCAATGTCTGAGTTGTCATTCAGTATATGTTATCATTTTTTTTTTTAACAGGTCACCATGTTCAGACTTCCACCTTTAACAGAGTTTAAGTTAATAGCTTTTCACTTCTTGCTGTGTATTATGGCATTTCCCCAATCAGGACTCCACAAGTATCAAGACTGTGTTTGTCTCATAGAAATAGTTTGGAAAGCTCTCTTCTTTATTTTCATAAATAATTAATAATGTACTGGAATCAATTAATGATTGTTTGATAGAATTCACTTATAAATCCAACTGGTCCTAGAAGTTTTTTCTTTGGGGTTTTTTACATCCAGCTGAGAGAAATTATTTTCTATTTGATTAAAAACCCACCACTACTAGAGTTCACAGTAACCCAGCTCTCAGTGGATTCCTTTGTCCAGATTGCTAGAAGTGATAGAACCTCATGATCAAGCCACATCCTCGGCAAGAGGGTCTGAGGGCTTTCAACCTACTTCCTTATTTGAAAGTCTATCCCTCATGAATTGTTCACCAATTCAGGTTGATTTTTCACCTGTCAAGACACCCACTTTCTTAAAAGTATATTGAGTCATTCAGTATCTCTGTGAGGTGTATGGTTACTGAGAGAAACCACTGACCCTCAATTTATTGATTAACAGCTAGGCTAATTCATTCATTGTTTATTAATTACTCAGAAACTCTGTCTCTCTGACTTTTCATGTGTCTCACAGCCCTATCTCCTCCCATCACCCTGCCAAACCATGACCCTCAATTTTTAATGCCTTGATTATTAATTACTCAGAAACTCTGTCTCTCTGGCTTTTCATGAGTCTCACAGCCTTATCTCCTCCTACCAACTTCCCTTCCTTGGTTCTCCTCCTTCCCTCACCCCTTTCCATGATATTTACATTCCTGGAATGAACTCCACCCAATGTGGTCTCTTCAAAGCCCTCCATTCCTTGAAGTTCCATCTTAAGGGATCATGTTCTGCATGAAGCCTTCTCTACCATCCTCCAGATAAGAGTGGTATCTCCCCATAAAATTTCCCATAACCCTTTCTCTACATCTTTCCTTTTCCCCTATTACATTATTCTACCTCATGACAGAGGTGTTTGTGTTGTGCCTAGCACTATATGAGTACCTAGTCCAGTATCTAGCATACAGAAAACATTCAATAACTTCTTGTTGATGTCATATTCCCAACCTCCCTAAACAAACATGTGAGCTAGACATTTCAGATATTATTGTATTACAGATGAAGAAACAGAAGCTCATAAAAACCACATGAGTGACCCAGGTCATATATACAATGTCTGAGCCAGGACTCAAACTCATGTGTCCTGAACCTGGGATCAGCCCTCCTCCTGTGAACACTAAGCTTCTGCAAATAACACAAATAAAGCAGCAGGATGGAACAAGAGGCTCCTGGAAGGCAAGTCAACATTTTATTAGGCCTGGAAAAGGGTAAGTAGAATGTGGTTAAGTTGCATGAAGCATGAGGGTACAAAGCAAAGTGCTGGGGCCCTAAAACAAAAGTTAGCCACTTGAAGCATTTAACTGAGAAGGTGAATGAGTGCCTCTCCCAAAGGGGCAGAAGGAATGGTAGCTGCTGTCAGGGAACAGAAGCCAGTCCCAGGATGTGTGTGCTCTGTGAGGGGAGAAGCTAGTGAGGCTGCTTCCTAAGGTGCCTCTGTCCATTCATGGATCTTCATGAGGATAGTATCTTTATTGTTTCTGACATTTGCCTTCGAATCCTCCAGGAGTTGACACACCTTGTCATCACAGTAGTTAGTGAGGTGGAATGTCGGATATGTCTTGTGTCTCTGCTCAATGACCTCTAAGACAGAGAGAGACAGAGAAACCATGATGTTACCAAGCAGCCCTACTCAGTAGAAAACAGTTACTTCTGGAGCCTCATCATCAAATCAACTCTAAAAACAGGTGCCCACAGAATCTCAGAGCATGACAGGACCTCAGAAGGACTCTCCTTTCACATACTTGTACAGAATTCTATCCTCTGATATCCTTAACAAGTGATCATCCAACCTCAAACCAAAGGCCCCCAGTGACAGAAGAAAAAGAATGCTTAATATTTCCTCCCCTTCACATACTTGATGACGGTGATGATGCCTCCCAACGTCTTCTTACTCACAAATACTTAACTCCTTCAACCATCCCTCAAATGACCTGGCTTTTATGCAGCTCCTCTTCCTGCTTGCCTTCTCACATGGAACTAGGTATATCTTAGGAGCCATTACAACATTTCCAGCTCTCTCTCTCTCTCTCTCTCTCTCTCTCTCTCTCTCTCTCTCTCTCCCCTTTATTGCTTATCTCTCTCCAAAGTGATTAATAATCTCTTGATTGCTTACTCTAATGACCTTTTCTCAATTATACTCCTTGATCTCTCTGTAGTTTTTGCTACCATCAATCATCCTCTTCTCCTGATATTCTCTTCTCTTTAGGTTTTTGTGATACTCCTCTCTCCTAGCTCTCCTCCTACTTATCTGACTGCTTGTTCTCAGTATCCTATGCTGGATCTTCACACAGATTATGACTACTAATTGTCAGTGTCCCATAGAGTTCTGTCCTGAGCTCTCTTATTTTCTCCTTCTGTACTATTTTACTTGGTGATTTCCCATGGATTTAATTGTCATCTCTCTATGTTGATGATTTTCATACCTACTCATTCTGCCCAACCTCTCTCCTGACCTCCAGTCTTCCATCTCCAACTGCCTATTGGGCATCTGTAACTCAACATATCCAAAACTGAACTTATCCTTTCTCCTAAACTCTTGCCTCTTCCTAACTTTCCACTCACTGTCCACTGTAACCACCATCCTCACAATCACACCTAGGAGTCTCATAACCTAGGAGTCATCCGTGACTTTTCACTGTCTCTTATCCCTGTATCCAATCAGTAGACAGAGCCTATCAATTTCACCTTTGCAACATCTCTCAAATATGTTCCCTTCTCTCCTCTAACACTATCACAGCTCTGGTGCAGGCCCACATCAAATCACACCAGGACTACTGCAATAGCCACAGGTGACTCTGCTTGTCTCAAGTCCCTCCCCACTCCAATTCATCCTCCATTCAGCCACCAAAGTGATTTTCCTAAAGCAGTGCTCTGACCTTTTCATTCCATGCCACCCCATTCAATAAACTTCTGTAGCTCCCTAGCACCTATAGGATCAGACATAAAATCCTCTGTTTGGCATTCAAAGCCCTTCAGGACTTTGCTCCTCCCACCTTTCCAGTCTTCTTGCACTTTATCTCTCTCTCTCTCTCTCTCTCTCTCTCTCTCTCTCTCTCTCTCTCT